GCAGCTAAATTCACAATTGCAAACTTGAAACCAGTGGCCCATCACATTCATGAGTGGATAATAAAATGTGGTATATGCTTTACCGATGGAATCTCATCAGCTATATAGAACAACTGCGTGACTAGTAAGCATCTCTTGTATATTTCTGAATAAAGCTGGAACCCATTCTACTAAGTGAAGTATCTCAAGAATGGAAAAACCAGCACCACATGTACTCATCAGCAAATTGGTATTAACGGATGGACACCTAAGTGGACATATAGGAGTAACATTTATCGGGTGTTGGGAGGGTGGGAGTGGGGAGGAGGGGATGGGTATATACAACCACAAGTAAGATGTGCAACATTTGGGGTATGGACATGCTTGAAGCTCTTACTCAAGGGGGGAGGGGGGCATGGGCAATATATGTAACCTTAACATTTGTACCCCCATAATACACTAAAATAAGAAAATTAAATTAAAAATTAAAAAAAAAGATATCCTAAGATAGCATTTATCCACCAAAACAATGAGACAAGCAGGTAGTAAGTAGCCCAAGCAAGGTTTGTTGCTATTGCAATCTGACAGATTAAAGAGTAAGGCCAGGTCTCCTAAAGCAATAAATCATTATATTCCGCACATTTCTTCCTTCCTTCCTTCCTTCCTTCCTTCCTTCCTTCCTTCCTTCCTTCCTTCCTTCCTTCCTTCCTTCCTTCCTTCCTTTCTGTTCTTCTCCTTGACTCTTTAGATCGTTTCTTATCTTTCTTTCTTTCTTTTTGCCAGCACATATTGTCTAAAATATATACATAGCAGTATCATCTCCATTAGTAACCATATTAAAACTATAATGATTCAGAAAATTCAGTAAGAAGTGAAGTCTTATAGCAAAGTAAATTTATCCATCTAGTTTTATTCCTTCTTTCTGAAGGTGCTTAGAACATTCTTGAGAATTCACCATAAGTTGAAATATTTAATGAATTAAAATCAGTTATTATATGTAAAAATACTTGGCACAATACATAGTACCTGGTACATGTAAATATGAGCATTTGTTAAAATTTTTAAAAACTGTAAATAGTCATAACTGGGGATTTCTGATTAAATTTTATGAACCAGTCAATGAGAAGAAAATAAAGTACTCCTTTTTGAGAGCTGGAATAACACTTTCCGGAAATGAATTTCAGTTACCCTTGATATGCTGGTCTTTACATAGACATAAATAATGTGAACACTTGCTCATACCAATCAGGGGTTATCCTATAGTTGCTAAGGGTTTAAAGTTCTTTTATCCTTTGTTTCCTTCAATTTCCCTGTTCATTATACTACCATTTCATCAGAACGTGTGAAAAAGAAGGGGAAATAAAAGCAGGTGAACATAGTTTATGTCAATCTGTCTCTTAAGAGAAAGTAAGGCGGTCAAAATAGCTAGATAAAATTAGGTTTGAGGTGTTTTCATCTGTGCTGTTCTTGTCCTGCATTGCCACAAACCCTGGGAGTACACTTATGTAACTCACCATAATTTCTAGCTTCTGGAACTTTTGAGATATTGATATGAGAACATTTTATTTTAAAATCAATAATAATTATTATTTCCTCTCTTGGAAAGTGCTTCTGCAAGTAGGTAAGGAGGAATATTAGGTGGACATTTAAACTCTGACAGTGGTTATGTCTCTTTGCAAATGAAAATAGAAGGAACATCCTTCCCAAGACACACCTTGAAGGAGCATTTATGTTCCCACTGCACCTTGTTTACATCCCTATTTTAGTCATAGGTCTTGTATTTAATTATTTGCCAGTCAGTCCTCCCTGACTCCTTGAAGGAAGACTTGCCTTTCATTTTTGTGGTCTCAGATTCCTAGTACAGGTGGACACTATTGATAAGTGAAAGAATTAATAAATAAAAGATGACTTGGATTTACACGAGGGTTAACCAAGTCTCTCTCAAACTTAAGTCCAACAAAAAGAGGTTAGTAAAATCTTGTATTTTGGAGCAACATAGCTCCCTTAATTTTGAGAAGCTCTGAATCAAAATAAATCTCCTGTTCCTTTTGTATCTCCATTATTTACATGCAACATAAGTGTATTGAACCATTTCAGTCACTACTGTATCTGCCTTTAAAATACACTGAAAGGTTAAAAACACTGCCGTAGAATGGGTTAGTTTGTGAGTAGTGCATACCTAATGCAAACTCATTAAAACTTTCAAACATTAAAGAAGTTCCCCTTGTTTGGTAAAGTTAGACTAAATATTAATAGCTTACTCTGTGTAATTGTGATAATTGAATATTCCTACTAAAGATTATTCAGAGACTCAGATACATCCTTAATGAAAAATGATCAGACACAGCGCTCTAATTTTAATTTAGGACTTCAGAGGGTTTATTATTTTGAAATCAAATCTATTAAACCTTGTGAATACATTATTCCTCATTAAGATTCCTTTCGAACTCATTTGACATGTTAAAGACAGGATATCAGTGAATAATTTATAAGTCAAAATCATTTTATAGTATTTATCTTAGAAATTAAAGTGAATAGAACATAAGAAAAAATGGGGGGGGAAAGCCACAAGAAACTGATAGGGTAAGCCTAAACGGGAATTTCACAAGGTTAATTGTAACACTTTAGAACATTCTTAGCTTATCATCAAATAATTTTACTAGATACTATATTTATGAAATATATTGGTTGACAATTCAACTCATTTCATTTAATCACAACTAGAACTGTGATTAAAAATGAATAAAAAAAAGCAAAACAATTATGTTCATTATGTCTCCTCAATTTAACCAATATAGGACTATACGAAACGAGGCTATAGAAATATGTTCCTGGTGATCCATAAGCCATTATAAAAATATAAAGCATTATTATTACATGATTGCATATGTAAAACATTTTTCCTAAATCAACTTTTTGTTTATGGTGGCTCTGTGCAAAATTTCTCCCACTAAATAATATAAGAGAAGGCAATGGTTTCCAAACATTTTTGTTTGTTAGCCTCAAGCAGGGCTTCTTTGAAACAAAATTCCCAAATAAATCCAACATGATACAGTGGTAAGGGCCAGTAGTCCCAGCTACTTGCCAGGCTGAGATGGGAGAACTGCTTGAGCCCAGGAGTTTGAGGCCAGCCTGGGCAACATAGTGAGACCTATTTTCTTAAAACAAACAAACAAAAATAACTATCACCCCAAGAATAGTGTGAAGAAATATCTATGCTGTTCTTGGACCAGGAAAAGAGAAACAGCTATCTTAAATTTGGGGGAAGGCAGTAAACTCAGTATTGGGAGCTGACGTCATCAGTCATGAACCTACTAAAAGGAGAACAAACATCACTATAAATGATGGGTAACTATTGTCAAAATGAAGAATGACACTATTAAGCCAAGGAAATTTGGCTAAGGTAGATTTTATAAGAGCTCTATCTTCTACCCACCAATACCAGGTGCTGCTTCAGCTTCCACCTGTCCCTTCCTATGAATTTCCCCATGTTTCATGTCTTCTTTCTGCTCTCCATGCCCAGAAGGCCATGCCTCACACTTTGAGAAATAAGAACTAAAAAAAAATATGTCCGCCCCCAAAAGGAAAATCTTTACATGCTCTTATAGGCACCAGTTCTTATAAAATACTAGCCAATAGTTAGCTAATAAGTTTATTAAATCTTTTTGGGGATGATTACCCAGTTTTCATTAGATCCAACCTGATTTTTTTGGAGGTGATGTATGTATATATATATATACACACATCATATATATACACATATATATACACACTCTCTCTCTCTCTCTCTCTCTCTATATATATATATATATAGAGAGAGAGAGAGAGAGGTCCTATATCTATCTGTAGGTTCTCTATCTATAAATACATAGATATATGTATATGTATGTATATATATAGGACCTACCTTCGATAACTATTAAATGAGCTTACTCTCAGCCCACAATATCTTAAAAATAGATTATCTTTATTCTAACTATTACTGTAGTAACATTTTCACCCAGTGAAATCAAGCATTAAAAATATGTGCTATAATTACTTAATCTAAGCAATATAATGCCAGAAAACCAAATTGCAGTCATAGTGTTTATTTTGCAAAAATATTTTTATCTGGCTACTTAGTATCATGTAGATGCAACATTAAATAATCATTGAAATATGTCATCAATATAATTAGCAAGAATATTTTTATCTGGCTACTTAGCATCATATATATGCAACAATAAATATTCATTGCAGTAAGTCATTAAATATAAGTTTTTCTCTGATTTTAATCATGCTCATATAATAAAAATTCGAGGCTAGAATACAGCATTTTCTTTTTACTTTTTGTCCTTATAAACTATGAGGGAGCACAACTGCCATCCAAACAATCACATTAATACATTTTCAAATCTTCTATTAACATATAAAAATAGTTTAAATTTATATATATTTTTTCATAATCTAGGTCTCAGCAATCATATCACAATTTTCAGAAATGTTCACAGAATTTACTTTTGTTCCATTTTTCTCTAGTCACAAATACACATGCACATCTGCTTAAATTTGCACTCACCTTATTTCAAAATATGTAAATACTCTTACTTTTCAAAAATTGACAGTAAACTATTTGTGTGAAATAGTTGTGGCAAAGGAATTCAAAAAATTTTAATGTAATAAATGCTACTTTCTTTGTTAAATAATTCCACAATATAAAATCACACTTAAAACTGTTTCGAAGGAAACTTTCAAAGAGCAAAATCATGTGATAAGATTTTGTAAACTCAATGTTTCAAATCTAAGACTCCAGACTTTAAATATTTCTTTTCATTTTTATGTATGCTACATTAATTAAGTACTATGAATAAGGTTACTGTGCTATTTAACAGGTAACTAAAATTGCAATCTTGTTTTATTAGTTTTTCAGACACAGAATTTTAGCCCATGTAGCGTGAACCCAAAAATATTTCCTGTAACCATCAGCTGTAACCATTTTTAAAAATTAAGAAAGGAAAGCTAGATTATAATCATACACTCACCTTCTGATGTCTTGAAATATTCCGGCAAAATTAAAATGAATGTGATCACTATTGCCACAAATAATTTAAGGAGGGCTGTTTTTGTCATGTCTATTCACATGACACAAATGTGCTGCCACCCAGTACATCGATGGTATGTGGCTTCCTGTTTTAAGTTTCATCTCTGCGGTACTTCCAGTTAATGCAATTCACCTCATACTTACTTCCTTTTGGGTAAGTCTTTAGAAAAAAGAGGCCGTAAACTGAGACTTCACTTTTGAGCCACTTTCCATTATAAAAAAAACTACCCTCTAATAAGCACTTTCAAACTATCTTCTAAACAAGAAAAATAAATGATCTCAAGAAGCAAGGGGGTCTTGTCCTCATAGAAATCTGAAGCTCTTTCCCTATGTTTACCAATGTGTGTGAGTAATATAAACCCACAATATACTTACCAAAAATAAGATGATCAATGTCAGTCATGTCTAGATTGTATGGATATCACACATTTATTTACTTATTAAATGACTTTTGATCCCTTTTTAGTGCCAGGTGCTGTGCTGAATTCTGGTGTTCAGAAAACAGTATATGTAGAAGACAGTAAACAGTACAAAATGTGAGGATAAACTAAAGGCACATGCAAAATTTTGGTTGTACTTTACTGTATACAGCAATAGAATAGAACTCATTAACATTAAGCCTATAATCACTATGATTATTGTTATAAAATTCACATTGTCAGTTCCTATTTCAAAAAAAGATCTTTCATTATGATAATCCCAGTGAAATAAAATACTAAGGGTAGGGAAAATTTGTGGTGAATAAAGTGTATATGCAAACAAATATTTTTACTTAGAAAATCCAGATATCCAGTGTTTCCACTGTTCTTGTTTCCTGGTCTTAAAAAAAATGGCAACAAATATCTCTAATCATTTTCTCCCTGCTCACTGACTCCTGCACCTCCACCTCCCATCTTTTAACTATCCTATTTCTTCTCACCCAAACCTGGGCTCTATGGAAGAGTGGGTGGATAGGGAGTAGGACGCAGGGGATAAAGGCGTGCTGTGAATAGACTAAGTAAGAATTAACTGTGTTCTCTTCTGATTGGGCACAGCAATTTGATGGACAGATGGGAATCACAGGTTAGGAGACAGTAGGGCCTGAGTCTAAGAACGGTCAACATGGGAGAAGGACTTCAAACCTGACTTAATTTAAGAACAGCACCAAGGACCCCTCTAAGGAGGGGAGGAATTTGGGAGTCATGGCTTGCAATGTATACTGAATGAGAAACATAGGCCAGGTGGTGGTCTCTGTGGAAATGCTGATGGAGACGGGTGGGAAGCCCTGTCCCCTAATCCTTCCCCATTTTCGAGTTTTCACCAAGTGGTCACTGAATAATCTATGCCCCATTTGACCCTGTTTCGATTCCCCAGGCATTCTGACTCTTATTTTTTAAAATAAACATTACAACTATAATTTTGCCAATGAAATGAAATTTATTAAGAAAGTACTGACTTAATACCATTAATTCAATTTAATTCCTGATCAATTTTCTTTAAAAGGTAGTAAAACCACTTCTATTTTTTCCATTTTAATTTTGATTAGTTTTTAATTTTTAGTTTCTAGTTAATTTTCACTAGTTTTTAATTCATTTTGATTACTTTTTAAATTAGTTTTGTTAGTACTTATTCTTTTCTGTGTAAATTTTCCAACAATACTTTGGTTCGTTTATTAGTTCTTTTGTCCATATCAAATTTTATTGATTTGTAAGGGTTTTTGTGTGTGTGTGGTAGTATTTCTTCCAAATCTACACCCTCACACACACTTCCTGTCACTTTGACACCTATTCTTGGACACCTGGAAGACAAATTTACCTAGCAGCCTTTTGCTTTTGATGGGCTGGCCCGCGTGCTCTGCAGCTGGCTTCTCTGGTGATGTCAATGGTGGATGTCAGGAGAGCAGCCCAGGGACCCTAAACCCCAGGCCCCAGCCTGGCTGCTCTGCAGATATAGGAATCAGTATCTCACAGTCAGCCTGTACTGCACTTGCTGGACATCAGTGTGTCATCTCTGATTTAGCAAATCATGAGAAAATTATGATATGCCCTCAAATATTTCAGGAATCTTTTATTTTCCACAATTGTTCTATAGAGTGCTAATTGATAGGATGGCCTTGCTAATAAACTGTCTAATGGAGAAAAATAAATTATGTAACACTGCCCCATGTTTGAGTAACAGCCTGGATTAACAGGCTGTTAAGAGTTACACACAGTAACTCATTGTCTTCAAGATTAACCACCTGGGTCTTAAATCACTGTCTTTAAGATTAACCACTTGTGGAGATTGTGTTTTACAGCTTTTGAAAAGATCTGAGCAGACAGAAAGGGAGTGTAAATCCTCCTCCTGGACATCCAGGCCAGACTGGCCAGACCACATTCCAGAGGCAACTGATAAAACAGCCTCAAGGGGAAAAAAAATGAACATCCTAACATCTCACAGCTGTCTCCTGCTAATCAGCCTACAACAATACATTTTTCTTTACCCTTCACAAGCCCAGATAAAAAAACACAAGCCCCTTAGCCTTGGGGGCCAGCACCTCTCCTTTTTTTTCTCTTGTGCTTGGCCCTTCCTTTTTACTTCCTTTGGGGAGTAAATAAACTTTCTTTCTTTAAAACTATTCTAATCTTTGTGTCAAGAATTCCTTCTCAGCCTGCACCCTAAGCTCCCCACTCTAACACTAATCCAATTTTTAGAAATACTTTTGATCCTTATGCCTACAGTTACTAACTGCTTAAAGTATTAACAGAATAATAGCTAATGACAAATTTCAAATATATGCTGGGTCAAATCTTCCAAGATTCAATCACAAAGGTTAAAATTAAAGTATGAGCTAGAATAAAATCTTAAGCCTCCTAACTGACTGACTCTCTTGGCCAAGGGGGCCTTAGAAATACCCTAAAGCTGAGTTGCTGACATGAGAAGGGGGGTCAGACAGGCCTCATCATGCGTCCCTTCCTTCTTGGAGACATCCTTTGTAGGCCTAAGGCTACACAAGACAAAGCTTAAACCATACCTGCAGGCCACCAATTTACCCAACAGGTCAATTGAGTTTCGTTAAATGTCCAGTGTCTTGTCTCTGATTAACAGACATCCTTATCTTAAGTTAAAACACTCCAAGCTGTTAGATGAAGTTTCATTTCTTTAACCAATTACAAATCAAAGAATCTTTAAACCCACCTATAACCAGTAACTCCCTCCCTCCTTGAGATGTCCCATTTTTTCTCGCCAAACCAATCTATGCCCTCCACGTATTGACTTAGGGCCCTACATGCAGTTCCTGTCTCCGTGAAGGCACGAAACCAAACTGCATCCAGCTCAGGACCTCTCGGGCCTGTGCTCCGAGCCAGTCACACACATTTGGCTCAGAATAAACCTCTTTAAATTATTTTACAGAATTTGGCTTTTTATCCACTAACAAAAGGCTCAAAATGTCTTGTTTTTTTCTGATTATCCTAATTCATCCACTAAAATGTTTTACAACTGAAATCACTAAACACATAAAATACATCATTAAATATTTGCATTTGAAACACCAGAAATTTAAGAATTAAGCTGCAGTTTCTTGTAGGTAATCCATCTTAAAATGATAGTGCCTCAGAAATAAATAAACATAAGTTGTGCTAACCTTTGTTTTACTTAACTTATTTTATTTTGAAGATAAAACTGAAGCAACGGAAAAGAAACATAAACATAAACCTGGAGTAGAAAGTTTCTTGTTTTGTAAGAAATTTTCTTTAACAATGTTATTTATGGCTTTGATTTAGGTATTATGAAGATTAGAGTTGTAGAAAATGCTAAACCTTTAAGTGTATGACTCTGGGTTATTGTTAGAATTTAATGTACATATTTACCTCGAGGAGTTGTGGGCAGCCAAGGGCCAAAGGTTCCCCTGCTGCCTGGCACTCTTTTTTTTTTTTTTATGATACAGAGTCTTATTCCACTGCCCAGGTTGGAGAGCAGTGGCATCATCACAGCTCACTGCAACCTCCAACTCCTGGCTCAAGAGATCCTCCTGTCTCAACCTCCTTAGTAGCTGGGATCACAGGCACACACCACCATACCTGGCTATTTTTTTTTTTTAGAGAGATGGGGTCTCACTATGTTGCCTAGGCTGGTCTTAAACTCCTGGCCTCAAGGGATTCTTCTGGCTCAGCTTCCCAAAGCACTGGAATTACAAGTGTGGGCCACACCCCCGAGCCTGGCACTCTTCTTTTGATGGATCCCCTTACACCTGTGCTCTCCTCCTCCAGTAACCTCTGTTACCTGTACCATATCTCTCAGTCACCCAAACTTGGAAAATGCAGAAGTTATTTTTGAGGACTGCGTTCAATTTTTAATGGCCCACAGATGGATCATAATTCCTTGAACCATATTCTAATTATGTCATTTTTCAAATTTTATATATATCACCACAATGTGAACACACACAAATCTTTGTGTGAGTCTGATTATACAGTAGAATCCTGAGACAAAGAGCATAAAGGTTTTTGAAGTTCTTAATTCATATTGTAACGGACTTGCAGAAAAATTGTGTCTATACACATTCTATTAGCCACGTACGAGAGCCCATATATCACCAAACTTCAACACTGGCCGATTTTTTTTTTTTTTTTGAGACAGAGTCTCACTTTGTTGCCCAGGCTGGAGTGAGTACCGTGGTGTCAGCCTAGCTCACATAACCTCAAACTCCTGGGCTCAAGCGATCCTCCTGCCTCAGCCTTCTCCCCCAACCCCCAATAGCTGGGACTACAGGCATTAGCCACCATGCCTGCTAATTTTTTCTATATATTTTTAGTTGGCCAATTAATTTCTTTCTATTTTTAGTAGAGACGGGGTCTTGCCCTTGGTCAGGCTGGTTTCGAACTCCTGACCTTGAGTGATCCACCCGCCTCGGCCTCCCAGAGGGCTAGGATTACAGGCATGAACCACTATGCCCAGCCTACCACTAGCCAATTTAAAAGAAAAGAAAGTGTTTAGTTTATATTTCTTTGTTTGATAGTAATTCTGAACATTTTTCATATTTGCTGGCAATTTTAATGTCTTCTTTTGCAAATAGCCTGTTCATGTCTTTTACTGGAGCATTCATATCATTCCTGTTGAGTTAAAGGCCTCTTTTCTCTATTGAGACTGTGTCCTCTGCATCTATGTTGCAAA